TCGAAGTTTTGACTTAATTTGTCTGTTTTTTCTCATTTTCTTATTATTGTTTCTACTTATTAATAAAATTTATATAAAATGTTGATGAATAAAGTAAAAGTAAATATTTGTGTTTTTGCATTTTTAATATCATCGATATAGGTACATACATACCTATTAACAAAAGTATGAACAAGTGCGGCCCGCCTTTATTTCTTTTTGCCACTATGTGGCCCTTGCCTACTAAAAGGTTGCCGACCGCTGATCTAAAGGGTTACAACTATACAGGGTGTTCCGTCTAAACCCCACTTTAGAAGTATTGGGAGTTGCAATAATCGTATTTATTTGAAAATTGGTACATAGCCATAAACTATTAAGTCCTCCTAAATGAAAATATTTTCAAGATGGCGGCACTTTCTTATTCTCAACTTTCTTATTTTAAATGGAAAGGTATATTTTTTACTGCGTTTTTGGATTAATCGGGTTATTTTAAGGGAGTTTTCATTAGCTTTTCCTATACCTAAATTTAGCCGTTTTTGAAATATTTCGAGTTTTTCAAAAATTTTTGGATCTACAGAAAATTTATTAGTAGCCACACCCGTTTTCACATAGTTTGCTATGGAAATCAAAAATGTCAAAATTGTTTCTCAATAAAGCTAACAAGTAAGAAAAAATTATTTTTGTTTAATGAACGACATCATAATTTTGTTACACTCTCCATAAATACAAAATAAATTAATTAAATCTAAGTTTGAGTAGCTTTGACTTTCCATATTTTGGCACTATTTGTCAAATAATAAGTCACTGTCGACGTTTATTGAGACATAATTTTGACATTTTTTTATTTCCATGGCAAACTATACGAAAACGGATGTGGCTAGTAATAGATTTTCGACAGTCTTAACAAAAAGTCACTATAACTTCAAAATTATTAAATTTAAGTATAGGGAATGTTAATACAGATCGATGCAGAATTAAATTCTCTTCCATTTAGTAAAATAAAAATTGGGGTATTTTATTTAGAAAAATTGAGTTATGGGTATTTGAATTATTACAAAAGTAACCTTAAAATTTTACGTTTTGTTAATTTTTTTTTCAAAATTTGAAAACACCGAAAGAAAGATCTAAACTTTCTCTATCAAACGCCAAAAAAACGAATTTAAAATTTTAAAAAATAGCAGAGTTATTGATTTTTAAAGTGGAAGGTGCAGATCCAAAAATTTTTGAAAAACTCCAAATATTTCAAAAACGGCTAAATTTAGGTATAGGAAAAGCTGATGAAAACTCCCTAAAAATAACCCAATTAATACAAAAACGCGGTAAAAAATATAGCTTTTTATTTAAAATAAGAAAGTTGACACCGACTTCCGGTATAGCCGGAAGTACCACCATCTTGAAAATATTTGCATTTAGGAGGACTTAATGCATGGCTATGTACCAATTTTCAAACAAATATGATTATTCGAACACCCAATACTTTTAATGTGGGGTTTAGTCAAAACAGCCTGTATACTATCTACTTTATATTAACTTATTTTTTTTATATAAATTGCAATTTTGACAACAAAAATCGAACAACTCAAAAACAAAGCAAAATTTTGTTTTTAAAATAAATATTTTTTTTATATTGCTTTAATTTACTACATTAATTATTATTTTTTGGAAACAAATGATTTAAAAAAAAACGCTTGTTTTGATACCTTATAAAACGAATTTAAAACGGAAACACTCAGCAGGATACTAATTTTTTTGAGTCTGGCTTACGAATTACTGGTTGTTTTCTCTTTAAAATATTTTGTAATCGGATCATTTTTCTTAAACTATACAATTGTTAACTTGAACTGAAATTTTTAATCAGAAATTTGTGATTTGAAGAAAATATGCACAAATATGCAATAATTCCTAAAATATGCACGCTTCACCTCATCGAATTTTCAAAAAGTGTCTTCTTAGTGCATTTCTACACCCTCAAATCTCAAAATTTTAAATTTATATTTTTGTTTAAATGTTTGCACCTAATTTCATCCCGTTATAGGTTGTTTTTTGGTAAGTGCTTGATTAGTGCACTTTTCTACTCTCTAGGAAAAATATTTTACAAATTTCATGTTTCTATCGTCGTTTAAACATGTACACCTCATTTCACACCCTTAAAAACTGATTTTTAAAAATCTCGTCTTAGTGCACTTTACAACCGCCTAAGAACATATCTTCCAAATTTTATGTTTTTATCTTCGTTTAAGTGTTGACAACATATTCCACATTCTTGTAAATATAATTTCAAAAAATAATTTTACTTATTATTAAAAAAAATCTTGTCCTAGTGCACTTTTACTACTAATAAGGAGCATATTTTCTAAATTTTTTCTTTTTATCTTTGTTTAAATATTTACACCCCATTTCATTCCCGTAAAGATTTATTTTCAAAAAAACCTGTACACCCTCTAAGAAACATATCTTCTAAATTTAATGTTTCTATGTTCGTTTAAACTTATACAACCCGTTTTACCCCCTTTTCTAAGAGAGTAAATAAGTTTTTACTAATTATTTTTGAAAAATCTCGTTTTAGTGCACCTTCACAACCGCTAAGGAACATATCTTCCCAATTTTTTGTTTCTATTTTTGTTTAAACGTTTACACCCCATTTCACCCCCCTTAGAGGTTGATTTTTTAAAAATCCTTTCTTAGCGGGCCTCTACACCTTCTAAGAAACATATCTGCCAAATTTCATGTTTCTAGTTTCAGTGGTTTAGGCTGTGCGTTGTCTGTCAGTCAGTGACGGAACCTTTTATATATACAGGGTGTTCTGACTAAACCCCACATTAAAAATATTGGTAGTTCGAATAATCATATTTGTTTGAAAATTGGTACATAGCCATAAGGCATTAAGTCCTCCTAAATGAAAATATTTTCAAGATGGCGGCACTTCCGGTTATACCGGAAGTCGGTCTCAACTTTATTATTTTAAATGGAGAGCTATATTTTTTACTGCGTTTTTGGATTAATCGGGTTATTTTAAGAGAGTTTTCATCAGTTTTCCCTATATCTAAATTTAGCCGTTTTTGAAATATTTGGAGTTTTTAAAAATTTTTGGATCTGCACCTTCCACTTTAAAAATCCGTAACTCTGCTATTTTAAAATTTTTGAATTGGTTTTTTTGGCGTTTGAAAGAGAAAGTTTAGATCTTTCTTCCGGTGTTTTCAAGTTTTGAAAAAAGAAATAACAAACTATAAAATTTTAAGGTTACTTTTGTAATAATTCAAATACCCATAACTCAATTTTTCCAAATGAAATACCCCAATTTTTATTTTACTAAATGGAAGAGAATTTAATTCTGCATCGATTTGTATTAACATTCCCTAAACCAATATTTAATAATTTTTAAGTTATGGTGACTTTTTGTTAAGACTGCCGAAAATCTGTTATTAGCCACATTCGTTTTCGTCTAGTTTACTATGGAAATAAAAAATGTCAAAATTGTTTCTCAATAAATGTCGACAGTGACTTATTATTTGACAAATAGTGCCAAAATATGGAAAGTCAAAGCTACTCAAACTTAGATTTAATTAATTTATTTTGTATTTATGGAGAGTGTAACAAAATTATGATGTCGTTCATTAAACAAAAATAAATTTTTCTCACTTGTTAGCTTTAAATAATGATCGCATGGTAGAACCTATCAATAATAATGAAGTTTGCATAACTTTAATTCTCCATATTTTGGCACTTTTTGTCAAATAGTAATTTACTGTTGACGTTTGTTTAGAGAAAATTTTGACATTTTTTATTTCCATAGCAAACTAAGTGAAAACGGGTGTGGCTAGTAATAAATTTTCTGAAGTCTTAAAAAAAAGTCCATAATTTGAAAATTATTAAATTTAGGTATAGGGAATGTTAATACAGATCAATGCAAATTCTTTTCTATTTAGTAAAATCAAAATTGGGGTATTTTATTTGAAAAAATTGAGTTATG